CGCACTCACCACCAGTCCGACCTTTGCTGTTTCGTGTTTCAGGCGGGTGTATAGTTCGGCCACCGTTCCAAATGTTCTTGCGATAATGTCCATGTCGTCGCAAAGCACACAAATTGACCGGATTTCGTGAAAATCGTACCCCGCACGGGAAAAAATCTGATCTCCGAAATGAGAAAAATGACTCATGATTTCATGCACACAGCGTGTTCTCATGTTATGAAAATACACCATGAATAATATTCATGATATCATGATCAACTTTTCCGTAACGCAACAAACATTCCCAAAATCATGAATAATCCGAGTTGAAATCATGAGCTAAATTCATGGGTTTTACTTTAAACCAAAAAATGTAAAAAGAATAAAATAATGCATCAGACTGGATTCGAACCAAGAACCTTGAGATCAAACCCATACTTTGACCACTAGACTATCAGTACTTGTATAAGTTGGAAGACAAAAGGCGTATAATAGATACCTATGTAGTGTGGTTTATGAACAAGGTTTGCCAAGTACGTGTAACGCTTGTAGTGGGCTTGATTCCACTGCATTATGAAATCATGAATTTCCAAGACGAAATCATGAATCATTGCTACGATTTCATGGGATGGCAAGTTTTTTTCATTTCATGATTTTTTATTCATGAAAATGGAATCGGGTTTGTTTCCGTGCGGCTGTTGAGTCCGGCTCGTCGCATTACACCTTCTAGAGCAATGTTGAAGAGTAGGCATGAGAGTCCGTCACCTTGTCGCAGTCCCCGGCGGGATTCGAATGAACTGGATAGTTCACCCGAAACCCTTACGCAGTTTTGCACACCGTCCATCGTTGCTTTGATCAGTCTGATCAGCTTCCCAAGAAGCCGTTCTCGTCCATGATTTTCCATAGCTCTGTGCGGCCGATAATGTCGTATGCCGCCTTAAAGTCCATGAACAAATGATGCGTTGGGACCTGGTATTCACGGCATTTCTGGAGGATTTGCCGTACGGTGAAGATCTGGTCCGTTGTCGATCGGCCGTCAATGAAGCCGGCTTGATAATTTCCCACGAACTCGGTCATTTTAGGTGATAGACGACGGAAGATGATCTGGGATAGCATTTTGTAGGCGGCATTCAAAATGGTGATCGCTCTGAAGTTCTCACATTCCAAATGGCTGCCTTTCTTGTGAATGGAGCATATTACCCCCTCCTTCCACTCCTCCGGTAGCTGTTCTGTTTCCCAGATCTTGACTATCATCCGGTGCAGGCAGGTGGCCAACTTTTCTGGGCCCATCTTGATGAGTTCGGCTGCGATACCATCCTTACCAGCTGCTTTGTTGTTTTTGAGCTGCTGAATGGCATCCTTAACTTCCCTCAGCGTGGGAGTTGGGTCAGTTCCGTCCTCTGCTGCACTGACGTAGTCGTTTCCTCCATTGCGCTGGTCTCCCGCGCCTACGTTCTCCTCGCCATTCAGGTACGCCTCGAAGTGCTGCTTCCACCTTTCAATCACCTCACGTCCGCCCGTCAAGAGGCTCCCGTCCTTATCCTTGCACATTTCGGCTCGCGGCACGAAGCCGTTGCGGGATGCGTTGAGCTTCTGGTAGAACTTCCGTGTTTCTTGGGAACGGCACAGCACTCCGCTTCTTCCAGGCGGCGTTTTTTCTCCCGAAAAATGCGGGTCTGCTGTTTCCGCTTCTGTTTATACCGTTCCACGTTCTGTCGGGTTCCATGCTGCAGCATTACCGCCCGCGCTGCGTTCTTCTCCTCCAAAATCGCTCTGCACTCCTCGTCGAACCATTCATTCCATCGACTTCTTTCCACGTACCCGATGGTGCTCTCGGCTGCGTCGGTGATGGCTGCTTTTACTGTACTCCAGCAGTCTCCTCTGGCAATGCTGCCTCGAGATTCTGCGCGTATGCTAAGGCGACATCCGGTTGCTTCAGTCGCTCTAGGTTGTACCGTGGCGGGCGTCGGTACCGTACATTGTTGATGACGAAAAGTTTTGGGCGCAGTTTGACCATCACCAGGTAGTGATCAGAGTCCAGACGTCGATAATGTCGGAGAAGTGCCGTCCATCAATCAGAACGTGGTCGATTTGCGATTCCGTCTGCTGTGGTGATCTCCAGGTGTAACGATAGGGGAGGTGGTGTTGGAAGAATGTGCTACGTATGGCCATGTTCTTGGAGGCGGCGAAATCGATGAGTCCTAGGCCGTTCCCGTTCGTCAGCTGGTGGGCACTGAACTTTCCAATCGTCGGTCTGAATTCCTCCTCCTGGCCTACCTGAGCGTTTAGGTCTCCTATGATTATCTTGACGTCGTGGCTTGGGCAGCGATCGTACTCGCGGTCGAGCTGCGCGTAAAATGCGTCCTTGTCATCATCAGTGCTTCCGGAGTGAGGGCTGTGCACATTCTTTCGTCGATCGGCCACCAACCGATCACGTGCTTCTGCATTTCGCTCACCCAGCTCGCGTGTGTTGCCGCAACTCTGGTAGATGGTATGATTACCTCTGAACGTTCGCACCATGGATCCTGTCCAACACACCTCCTGCAGCGCTACGATGCCGAATCCGCGGTCCTTCAGTAGATTGGCGAGTATTCGGGTGCTCCCGATGAAATTGAGAGATCGACAGTTCGACGTGCCGAGCTTCCAATCGCAAGTCCTATTTCGTCGCTGGGGTCGTTGCCGTTGGTCTCGGTTCGTATTCCTCTGTTGCTGATTTTCCGTTGCAATGCTTTTTTTACGGCTGGCTCGCAGGGCCTGACACCAACCCCCTAACTTTCCGGAGGACCAGGGTGCACAGTTGTGCTTAGAGTCCTTCACTGGCACTCGGACCTTAGATCAGCCGCCCCTAACATGGGAACAGACGCTGTTGTGAGCCGCTCCTCCTGGAGAACAGACGCTCAGGCTTGCCGAAGCAAACACCCCCCCCCCCTTCCCTGTCAGCCTATGACCAAAGTTCCCACCGAAGTTGGTTACCAGATCTTCCCTAAGGTTGCTCACAGTTCCCGGCCGGAACCACGGGGAGGTAGGGATAGGAGTTGCTGGGAAGAGGCTAGTGATCTCAATGGGATCTGTATTGCGCATTACCCAGCATCTACCGACTGGTAAAAAAAATGGAATGAGAGGGATCTGGGAAGATGGTTACATTTTATTCTCCCACAGGTATCGAACAAGCCATGGTTCAAAGGATTGGACATGAGCCGTGACTTTATACGTGTCATGTCAAGGCTCATGTCTAACTAATCACTACTCGTTAGACTCGCATTTCTTCCGAATCGGGCTCGCAGGCAGCAATTTGTGCGCTTGTGGTAGTGGTTATGCACCCTCCATTGTGTTGCTAGATCCGAGTTATCCGCATCCCTCAAGGCTCGAGAAAAGCAACCTTTGCGGCCCGTTAGAGACATCTTGGCGAGCCGAGATCTCGAATATTTTAATTTAATTTATGTGTTTTCAAAACGGATCGATCTGAGGATTTAGTAGTTAGTGTCATCTTGTGTTCTCTCAAGTTGCTAGGTCTCCATCGGTGTACCCCCATGTTTGTCGTTTTCTCCAGTATGTCGCTTAGTTCTAGATCAAGAGCACATTGCTCTAAAAAACCTTGTATTCTCAATCCCTACCCTGCCACCCGTTTGTTACAATTTGTTACCCCTAACCTCGAGATAGCCGCGAGTAATCGGCCTCCGCTTTACTAACGTTAGTTTTAAGTAATTTTGTAACCCAATCGATGAATATCGGCTCCGAAAAGCTACGGAAAATGAGCCTAGAAAAATAAACGCATTAAAAACAAAAATTATATGTGCCTCCCGCATACACAATCAATCAATCAACCTCACTGCACAATAGATAAAGAAAATTGTGTGCGGATGGGAGGAGAAACTTAAAAACAACTTACTCTATCGATTAATTTTTTTGATTAACTATTGGCACTTCCCCTTGGTGGCACCAGCAACGCACTCTCGAAATATCGCTTTATGGATAGTAAAAAAATGAAATCATTTTCCCAGCGCAGGGAGCGCAGAATCCATGGAGTTATAGAAAATATCGAGTTATAGAATATCGAGTTGTAAAGAGTTGACTGTATTTAAGTGCTTTGAGACTGACTGAATGACATTTACATATTTACGAGCGTCAATTTTTACATAAAATTTGGTCGCAAAATGCAGCATAATCCAACGTACTTAGTGTTAGAGCACATAATTTTACATTACATGGGCATATCCCAAGTAACAATGCAAGTTTTATCGAGGTTTTAAAGCATGCTACAAGTCTAAATCATGGTCTACAGAACTCTCCTAAAACCTTAATTGTTACTTGGGATGTTTACGTCTCATACTTTATGTCAAAAGATAATTTCGGCACGTGCAAAATTAGTTATTGCTAGGCTGACATTTTCCGCTTGAATTTGTGAGCTTTTTCCATGACCTGAATTTGAAAGTTGATTTTAATTAGAGGAAAAAAAGAACGGGCTTAAACATCTTCTCAAAGGAGGTTCCAAAATAAAAGACTCATGCCCGCTGCTCTAAATACTCCTCTAACTAATAAAAAAAACAGGCAGAATAGTAAATATGAGTGGCTATGCAGTAATTGAGTGTTTTTTAAAGGTTAAAGGAGCATTTATTCGAAAAATACATTCTGGTTTTGCATACTTGCCATTCTGATATGCTATCGTTTGGTAGGTGTTTCAGCGATACTGATTGAAAAAAAAAATTTGTTAGGAACAACATATTTGTCTTCTAACCTTCAAAATAAACGACTTACCCATAGGTGGGAATACCCCTCACCATCCCTCTCAAACGGGGGAGTTTGGTAAAGATAGATGATCAAACCAATTTGTACCTTCCTAAAGTTGTCCTTGCTCGCTTTCTACTCTCTATATGCAATTTTCACACTGCCGTACTCTAACGGAACTATCAATTCTATACTTTCATCTCCTCATCTATCGTATAAAAATTACCACTTTAGTCTGTTATTTGAAATAAGTATCTTCAACTATGATTTATTCCCGTTTTTTTTTTCATTTCCAGATGGCTCAACTATGTGAAGGGCGTCATGTTCCAGTTTGGTCAATCGGTTCCCGGTTTCAACGCAGTCGTACATTCCAATGTTCCCGTCGGTGGTGGTCTATCGAGCAGCGCCGCCTTGGAGGTGGCCACCATTACGTTTCTGCAGCAATTGACAGCTAGGAAAATAGAAAAGTAAGCTGGGATCGTTTGCTTCCAAAACTACACAAATTTGGTTAGGATGCACAGTGTTGCTTTTTGCCATTTTCGTGCACTATTTTAATAGCTTCTCAAACATTGATTTTGGGGGTATAGTTTGTTTAAAGATGTTTTTGCATATGTTAATTGCAAGGTTGCAAATACTCATTTCAGCTAAAACAATGTTTTTCTAAATTATGAAATAATTAGATGCCATGATCAAATTTTGAATTGGTAGGATACAAGAAGAGGTTGCAAAGAATGTGTTTGACATATTAAACCTGTTTATTTCACTTCATGAGAGTCACAATCAGCGATTTTTCACAAACTCACTCACTCACTCAGCGATCAGCAAATCGCTGATTGTGACTCATAGAAAGCAAAATTTACAGGTTTTATGTTTCAAACGCATACTTTGTAACCTCTTCTTGTAAGTTACAAGTAAAACATGCCATCATACCATCTTTTGGTTTTATTATTGCGAAAAACATTATTTTAGCTGAAATGAGTCTTTGCAACCTTGCCTAAATGTGAGATCTTAAAAATATTTTTTATCTGATTCAGATAGAGACTTAACTTCTGCAATAAAGTTGTAGAAAATGTTATTTTAAGCAACTTTGCTGAACACCTAAAATTTACTAGCTCTTATAAATTGCGAGATATGTATCATTTTTCGTGAAAGGCCCCTTTAAATCATGTTTTTTAGTATAACTGATTTTCTAGGCATCCTACAATTTTTGTTTCTTCTACAACTATTTTGCAAGTTTAAACACATGCTTTTGCTGAACATTGTAACTTAATTATCTCTTGAAACAAAAAAGTTATTCTTAAATAATCGATATTTTTAGGGGTATTTGCTTCTCAAATAAATATTTCCGGCGCAAATTGGCGCAAAATCTATGAATCTATGCTTATTTTACTGCCGAAAAATTATAAAAACATGTGGCAGCAAGCGATCGTTTAGGTGTTTTTCAATAACTAAAAAACTCCTGCAAATGTCTTATTTTTGAATACATATTTTAATTTTAAGAGATAGCATGTTTTTTTTCATTTTTCTTTATTAGAGAGATTTTTAGCCATAGGCTAGTTCATCTCTTAGATAGCATGTTAAAATGTTCAGCAAAAATATGTATTTTTGTACGGCAAACAACTTTGTACAATATGCTAAGTATATTGAAAATCTACGAAAAAAGTAACACTTAAAACAATTATTTGAAGGAGTATACTTTCTGATCTTTTCCAAGAATCGCTGATCCTGGTTGCTCGCATTTTCTACAACTTTATTGCAGACGTTAAGTCTCTATCTGAATCAGGTAAAACAATATTGTTTTGATCTCACTTTAAGGTAGATTAATCAGTTCGCGTTTGTCTGTCAACGTTAGCAGTTCAACTCGAGCTGTCTGTGCATTTTTTTTCTTCTCTCCTTCGCTTGCTGTGTGCTGGCGTTCCACCTCCCGGACGAAAAGCGCTTGCTAAACGTTGTCGTCATCGTGTTTGTGTGTTGAGGTTGTGTTTCAGTAATACAATCGAAGGGTGCCATGGCGTTTGTTTTCGGCCACTCGCGAGTTTATTCTGCCGGTGAGGTGCTTGCGCTGCATTTTACAGACTGTGCTGGCGAACTAAAGCCATTGTGTCGCGAGTGATTGGTGATGGAAAGTGGATGCAGTCCATTTTTTCTCTGCTGAGATCCCTCCAGTTGGAGCAGCTAGTGTGAGTTACTGGGTTTTTGAGGGTTTCCGCTGCTGTGTTAGGAAGGAAAGGCGAGAGTGCTGTTTTTAACACCGGTTGAAGAAGTAGCGGCAGCATATCTATGGGAGCTCTTCGAAAACATCGTGATGTCATGGATCCCTTTGCAACATATCGGGTGAGATCTTTCCTTTATTTTTCTCTTAACATTCATTCCATTATTATATGAAACATTATATGCTGGGTACGGTAGGGTTCACCAGGGCACCCGATTTAGGTGAGGTGGATGGGGGGAGTGGAGGTGCCGACTTCCTGTTTGTGGAGTTTCGTGAGGGGAGGGCGGGCTCTTCTCTCCACTCACGTCCCTTTGTTGGAAGGCCTGTTTTATGGCCGGTTGTGTGATCCTGTTGTTGGAGGGAGATTATCGTTTGTCCCATGGATGCGCGTGGGCGATGTTGCCCACGGATTCACCCAAATCGTTTTTGGCCTTTCATGTAGTGGCGGGTGGAATGCAATTGGAGGCTGTTGGACTTGATCAGGTCGAGCAGTGAGGATGGTCCATAGTCTGTGACCAGTTATCTTGCTACAGTGAGTGGTAGTTCCATGTCATCATCATCATCCATAAAAATTAGCTTAGGTGAATGGAAAACAACAGAGTTAATCATCAGATAAAAAAAAAACTCACAATTATTTTTACTGTGGATTTTTTTTTATGTATTTTTAAATTTGACGTTCGCATAAAGTTTACCACCTGTTTGTCATATTTGATGTATTGTGTTACTATTGGATTGGCACAATGGGCCGATTTTCGTATTTTGGTTTGTATGAGAGTCGGCCTGTTGTGCTGATTTAAGGGCCACCAATGTATGTTCATATAAAGTAGTTTTTATCATTTATTACATTTGTTTTAGACATACTTGTACATTTCAGGTAATTTATTCTTATTAGTGATACCATTATTTTTTTTACATTAGTTTATTTTTTTTGCTCAAATGTTACTGATTTTTTATTGTTTTATTTTAGTACTTGTTTTTAGAAGAAGCGGTCAATATTTCTCAGGTCATCACTGACGTCTCTGGAATGGGATTATATTCATGCTTATCGTTGGACGCCTGACGCTGAACATATCATCAAATTTATTTCTAATTATATGTAATTATTTCCCGTCAGTACGCAATGGATACAAGGAATGCTTTTTCAAATATGTTTTTTTTATTACATCCTGTAATATTATTTTATAACTTATTTTTTTATATTATTAGAGTTGACTATTTTGTGATATTATTTTCTTCCTTTATATTATACATTTTATATCATTATATTATTTTTTATCCGCCGGGATCTTGGAGGTGAATATAAGTCTTCGTGTAATATATTTTCAAGGAATGATATTTTACTGCATGTAGTATTACATCAATTAATTTAATTTTATACTTCATATTATTATGTTTTCAAACAGAATTATAATTATTTTTTTTTCAGATCATCAATATTTAAAAGATCAAATTGTTATATGATTTTCATGGGCATCAATCGAGTAATATTCATGCAACGTTTAAATATAAGTAGTATAACACTCTTATTAAATTCTTTTGTAGCATACAGCCTCTCTGATAGTCCAATTAATTCAAGAATACATATTATTATAATTTAATATCTTATACATTATATAAATTTATATTAGTGCAGAATTTACTAATTAATTAGTTGCTTACATATTAACCAACAGCTGAAAAAAAAAACACATTACATCATTAGAGATAATTTCAATTATTCTTTAATATAACCATTGCATTACAGATTATCTAAACCTATCACTATACTTTTGTAGAGTGTTCAATATTTACAATCATAACCTAGATTTTTCTTCTTTTCCATTCATTACTTCAGATATTCATACGTCACATTAATCAAGAATAATCCATCCATTCAGAAAAAATCCCAAACATATCTGAAACATTGGACGTATCAATATCAATTATTCGTGTTTATTTCAATATTTATAAATTTATTTAGTATCGCATTACTCATCGAAATTAAAATTAAGCTGATGAAGCAGAGGAAGCGACAACAATGCATAACATTATATGCAAAATATTTATTATACAGGTTATTTCTCGTCATGCATGACATCATTTAGATGAGATTCGTTTTTTTATTTTTTGTTTTGTTAGTTAAACATTACACTTTTTTCATTATTTTAAGGAAAGTATCAAGAATGATTCGAGCTAAAAATGTGTATTTGCTTAATATAACCTTGAGATTTCAGTGTTACATCCACCTGATGCTGTGAGCTGAGGAGACATAAAGCTGTATATTACTATATGTAAAACATTTATTAATTGCATTGCAGAATATCAGCTATTTTATCCACATAAAAGTATTTTCATTATTTCATATTGTAATGTTCGGATATATTTCATTTCTCCATTACATATATTTACTTCATATAAATAAATACTAGGTTGGGAGGGAGCATCAGGGTATCATTTGACCTGAAACTGTACGATGGAGTGGTATGACAACCGGAGTCTAGGAGGGAGTAAACACTATCATTTTCTTTATCCTACCGATTCGATTGTGGTGGTGTGAATTCTACTCCAACAGTTTCAGTGAGATTGACGCGCCCTTCTTAACAAACAATGCTGTAGGAAGCTTAATAAGTATTGCGAACTGCGTTATTCGATTTGTTGGATCGTATCGTTGGAAGGAGATTCTTAAATTTCCGTGGATTTCGCGTAAGTGTCTCTACTTACGGGTCCGCCCCTCCGTTTTTGGCCCTTCATACAGCGATATTGTGAATTCAGATCGGTAGCTCAAATTGATCTTGCTATTAAGTGGAGCTGCATACAAGACAAAATCTTTGAAGGGATGGTGGCTACCTTACATACATACATACATACATACTTTAAGTTAGATTAATCACCAAACCGTCTACATCAAAAGATGCGGATAAGCATATGCAAAAATATCTTTAAACAAACTATACCCCTAAAATCAATGTTTGAGAAGCTATTAAAAAAGCGCACGAAAACGACAAAAAGCAACACTGTGGGATGTAAGAGGAAGATGAGGCAATAGGGGGACTTTTATGTACCATTTTTTTTTGTCAAATGCGAACCAGCGCCTGATTAGTCGCGCGAAGTATAGAAACGCGAGAAGTTTCACAACAGGGAATATATTTTCTAGTATTTTGATAGTCGACTGCATCGCCCATAATGAGAGAAAAACACGTCACAGACAAAAAGAAACCAGTTGCCTCCTCTTCCTCTTAGGGTAGGATGAACCCAGTTCAGTCAAAACTGATCCTACCCAAAAATGGGTAAACTATGTTAGTAGTTACCAGTTGACAATTGAGCAACATCGACCTGAATACGATCGATGAAGTTAATTTGTCGACTTGCACGTCTGAACTTAGTTTTCCGATTTTTGAATACGTTCAGTTTTGTTTGAACTGGGTGAATTCCACCCAATGTTGGGTAGTTTTGAAATAGCTTGTAAAGTAAATCTTCGAACCGTATAATTGTGACCAATGTTTGTATTTGCAGGGATAGCGATAAGGCCCTGATTTGCCAGAAAGCTGAGCATACATTTGCAAACATGCCCTGTGGTATCATGGACCAGCTTATCTCGGTCTGTGGCCAAAAGAACCGGGCATTGTTGATTGACTGTCGGTGAGTTGATACTGGGAACGGATAAGAAATTCATTCTGTGCATGTTCTAGAGAGGTAAAACTTGTACACAACACAGAAGCGACCGGTAGATTCGAACAATGTGTATTCGTTTAGGATTACTGTATAATCGTCGTACCGCTTCAAGAGCTGCACAATGCACAATGTAAACTTCACGTGACATGGCAAGGTAACACCGTTCTACAGTCACCTGGGACACAAAGTTGTTTATATTTGAGCTGCTTTCTGCGGAAGAAGTTATCATCTTATACGTGACCTGTACAAACGAGGCAAAATTGTTTGATGCATATCTCTTTAATTAAGGTACACAAATGATTTCTGACATCCTGTGTCCTGTGTCCTTGCCACCGGGCGCTTGCCATTCGTATGTGGGCATTGTATTATTTGAACACGGTACGATGGATGGAACCTCGGATGGTTGATGGCTTGTTCTCGTTGCATGTATGGAAAGGATGTAATTTATTTCCACTTGCTGTACACATATTGGACTCGGCTATGAAAGGAGGCACTCAGAACGAAAATATAAGAGTTTTATTGTGGTCTGTTGTTATGACTAGAGTCTCTTCATTCAATCAACCAGGCTCAACTGGCATACCGTAATTCAAAATTGGATTTCCTTTCCCTGAAAATCAAACAACTGCAATTTTCTCTGAGTGCCTTCAATAGAGGATTAAGATTTTCTTCGGATGGGTCGCCAGTTTGCTCTGTTTCCTTCCTCACCGGAATGATTAAGGCTCACCCATCTGCAAACTTGCAGACAGATTTTCAACCATTCAGCCAAACCGAAAGCAATTTGTCACATGTCCTCACCCTGGCAGCTCATCCTGGTAGAGTTGTTCGGCTTTCTTCAAAGAATCTTGCAAGGAAATTAACATCAATCCGAACATAGGAGCTGGCACCTGCTCTTCACCTTCACCTCCCCCACCGTTTTGTTTAGTCTCCTGCACTAACCTGCTGCCTGCATATCTGCCAAGCTTTACATCGAAGACGACGCCGAAGACTAGGAGCCAACTACAACAAAAAGCAACTTACCCACTCGGCTCAGTGGCTACAAATTATTCATGTGGCTTTCTTTGTCAGCGCGAATTGAGCCAAAAGCTTGCTCTTGTTTCCGTCGACGAACGGAGCAGTCCAAAGGTGATGTTCTACGTACACATGGAATCTATTGGCAATGTTAGCAGATTAGTACCACTCTTCCGACCGAGGCGGAGTGTTAAGACTTGGGGCTCTTTTGATGAGACATGGAACGATCCGAGAACAACAAACAACGCACCACACACACACACAGGACACACGTTACTCTTTCGGATAAAGGACAACCTTTGTGAACTCCGGGTAACAGCAGTGCATGTCTGCCGGCATACATGTTTCAACGTTGTACGTTAATCGGAGCCTCTTGCATTAGTCGGAAGGTTAGGTTTTCCGAGAATTGGAAGCTAATGCTAATATAAGGATATGAAAGAGTTTTAACCAAATTGGAATGACTCTGTCACTAGCGTTTCTAATTCTGTCTGGTAGCATTTATGGCGGAATTCACTGATTCTAGTTGTTTAAATTGTGATCTTTAATCAGGTTCATTTTGCTATATTCCGCATTCAACAGAAACCTCACCACGGAGCTGATCCCCTTCGAAATGTCTGGGCTGGCGGTGTTAATTTGCAACTCGAACGTGAAACACGAACTGTCTTCTAGTGAATACCCTGCCAGGCGTAAGCAGTGCCAACAAGCGCTGGAAATGATGGGACTTAAGAGCTACCGGGAAGCCACGGAGAAGAATCTGGAAGGTTTGTACTGTGCGTGATATCTTAATTGACTTTACCTCGGGTTTACTTGTAAAAATGAGCAAAAATTTTCTATTCAAAATGTTGCTATACTGTACACAAGACTTTGGTAAAATGATGGAATGTATTTAATGGTATTTCGCTCCAAACTCATTCACATAATTATATTCTACCTCTGCCGCTATCCGGTTAATTATTTTTATATGAAGGCCTCGTTGCTACACGGTTCCGTAGTTTGTACTAATGATGAACTTTACCCCCGTTTCTATTTTTTTAAATGCAAAAATCCACCCCATGCTGCTCATTAACGCTGCGATGCCAAATAAATTCGCACCTCATGCCGTTACTTCCTGGGATCCTGCTGCTGCTGTTCCGGGTGAAAACGTACACACCTCCACACTTGACGTACGTTGCGACGTTTTCCGACGTCGGGGAATGGGTTTGAAATTGTGGAAACCTCCGTTGTTTCCCGGGAACATCTTGCATCAGCACTGAAAGGTGCCGATGAAGTGCTGCTGAAACGGGCCCGTCACGTCATCAGCGAGATCAAGCGCACCGTCGCGGCAGCCGAGGCCTTGAGAGCAAATGACTACGACCGGGTAAGTGGAAGATGGATGGGGAAAAAACTGTGCTGTGATTTTGAAAGTGTTACATGTGGATCATTCCAGGACAAGTGTATACAAAGTGTCGCCGATTTCAACCAAACTATGGCAGCATTACAAAAAAAAAATCTTAGAAAACACCTTATTGGATTTTACTCAAAAGTGCTTGGTTCCCTCTGGGCTACAACTCTGGATTTTTTTTTAGATCGTTTTAAATTATATGTTAGAATAGAGATTGTTACACAACCAAACAAGGAATTAATGTTCCTGACCCACAACGCAGGGATTTTAATGTTAAATTTGATAGATTTATCAAAATTTAATTTGTGTTATTGAAACTACATTATCAAAAACGGGCTCTTCTTAAAACTGCGCGGGTTTTGTCATTTTTCAAGATTTTGACTTCAAATTACCTCCACATATTGGAACTACTAGATGATTTCGGAAATGAAATTGTACTGAACTATGGTTCAAAAAATTTGACCAGATGCGTGAGTACATGCAATCAACACCGAACACTTTGTATCTACAATTGAGTATTACTTTTCACCATCAAATCAGACAGATAAAGAAATTAGCTCCCTCCGAGCCTCGACCAGTTCTTAGAGGACAGTGACCGCTACCACCCCCCATTCAACTCAAACGTACCTTAAGACAGCAAGAACAGCCAACACAAGAACAGCCAAAGAACAACCGAAGAAACGAAGAAGAAAACAGTAGCCAAACAGGACAGCAACGAACAAATGCCAAAACGGGTTAAAGGTAGTTAATCTCCAATGACCTTCCGGATACAAACATCTCCTTAGCCCTAATGACAATCTCCGAATGCAAAAAGCTCCTTAGCACTAAGCCAAGTCATCACCTCAGACTTGGCAGTCTCGTCCGATGAAGATTTGGAAGACGTTCAGGATCCGCTGTCGGAACTGTAGACCGTTCCACAGCAATGCAAAACCCAGTTCGTTCTTATCGACCGAAAGTTAACCATAAAACCCGTTCCATCGCAATGGATCCATCACCAATCACCACAGATACGAAGAGGAACAAGCCTACTAATTCCACAATCACCGATGCCACCACCACTAATTCAGATAAGGCCTCGGGTAGTCGCGGCCCTGCCAGTACGGACTTTAACGAATAATCGGAACAGACAGACAACCCTCAGCACTCGTTGGCATACTCTGTAGACAAAATCAAACCATTCGGATCGACTTATCCCATCAACCCGGTTGGATCGCGGCGTAGTCGATGCCCCTTCGGTGCGGAAGTCAAGAAAGCACCAAAACCGGCAAGAGGAACGGACAGGGAGCTTGCTCCTATTCCTTTATGGAAGGGAGCGAAAATACCATAATAACCCACACAGAACATCAAGGAATTCAATATAATAGTCTCCGAACGGGCCTGGTCACCTCTGCCAGCTGTGGGTCGCTCCACAAAACCTGCTACTGGTGGAGCTCTACACCTAACAAGACCTTTAAGGACAACAATTTACTTGGATCACGTGATCACCTCACCTTCCCCCATCTTAACATCGATAACCTGATTACCTGATAACCTGCCGCCCCCGTTCCCCTGAACACCATGAGAAACAAGTCCACACCAACGACACCAGAATCAAAATTCTTGCTTACGCCATCTGCGTCGCTCTGGAATACGATACACTTCAGACCGAACTATCCGGAATTGCCACAACAACCGCAGGGCCATCTTCATGGTCTACCGCCACTACTCTACCAATCAACAACCTATCCGGTGCAACAACACTGCATAAGCAACGTGCTGGAATCCCCTTACCGGAACCTGGAACCCACCAATGATGCCTTCTTCCGAACGAACCCCAATCGAAAGTTCCAACTAATGTGGACACACTCCACAACCTTGAAGCTGCTTCCAATACATCTCTTTCAGCTAAAGACCCTCTGACTACGCTGGATGCTATACCGGTACCCTCTGTTGGTAGAATTCCATCACCCATACCTCGTTTGCGTTTCCGAAACGCACTACACCCAACAGTCCCTTTACTAATAAAAGCCAGGCAACAACCCCGAAACGGTTTTCACAACAACCTGGGTGATCTCGAGGCTCAATAATTCACCTCTGATCCTGGCCTTACAGGAGGTACACAGAGTGAACCAGAAACGCATGAATAAAACATTGCGGAGTAAATACAACTGATTCGTCAAGGATGGAGGAAATGTCTACCAATCAACGGCCCATTTTCCCAGATAAGCCTTGTAACGGATGTCATAGCTGTAGCGGTCCGCATGCAGACCCCGTTTCCAATTTCCATCGTAAGCATTTACCTTCCAGTCAACGATAATGACTACCTGTAATACGACACCCACCCAAAATTTGACACCCATACGACACAATCGATCGAGTTCAGCTATGGCAGATTATGCACGAGTACGGATTTTCGGATAAACTGACTCGATTGGTCAAGGCGACGATGGATCGAGTATCGGGGAGTTCCTTTGAATCTCGAAGGGGGCTACGGCAAGGTGATGGACTTTCGTGTCTGCTATTCAACATCGCGTTAGAAGGTGTGATCAGAAGAGCTGGGATAGACACGAGTGGCACGATCTTCAGGAAGTCCATCCAGCTTCTTGGTTTCGCCGATGACATTGACATCATGGCACGAAACTTTGAGACGATGGCGGGAACGTACATCAGACTTAAGGCTGAAGCTAGTCGGTTTGGACTTGCCATCAACGCATCAAAGACAAAATACATGAAAGGAAGAGGTTCTAGGGAAGACAATGTTAGCCTCCCACCCCGAGTTCAGATTGACGGAGACGAAATCGAGGTGGTCGATGAGTTTGTGTATTTGGGCTCACTGGTGACCGCCGAAAATGATACCAGCAGAGAAATTCAAAGACGCATTATGGCAGGGAATCGTGCCTACTTTGGTCTCCGGAGGACGCTCCGGTCGAATAAAATTCGCCGCCGCACGAAGTTGACTGTCTACAAGACGCTGATTAGACCGGTGGTCCTCTACGGCCACGAGACCTGGACTACGCTCGTCGAGGACCAACGTGCCCTTGGTGTTTTCGAACGGAAGGTGTTGCGTACCATCTACGGTGGAGTACAGATGGATGACGGAGCTTGGAGGAAGCGAATGAACCACGAATTGCACCAGCTGCTGGGAGAACCATCCATCGTGCACATTGCAAAAATTGGGCGACTGCGGTGGGCTGGGCACGTTGTAAGAATGCCGCCCGAAGACCCAGTGAAAATGGTTCTAGAAAGCGACCCAACAGGAACAAGAAGAAGAGGCGCGCAGCGGGCAAGGTGGATCGACCAAGTAGCAGGCGACCTGCGGACCCTTCGTAGACTACGAGGCTGGTGAAGTGTGGCCATGGATCAAGTAGAGTGGAGACGACTTCTTCGGACAGCAGAGGACAACAAGGCTTTAGCCTGATTGGTAAGGTAAGTACTATCCACAACTAAGGACGCAATACTCCGGACGAAGAGCCTTGCATTGGTGGTCTCCTGAGACTCGCGCTATGGTAAAAGCCAAGAGAAAGGAACTCAGGAGATTAAAAAGATTACCCATAGACTATCCGGACGCTGAAGAAGCCGCCCGTGATTACGGAACCAGTACCGTTTCACGATTAGAGAAGGCAAATCAAAATTCTGGGAGGAGTTCCTTAACGAAATAGATAGCAACAAGTCAACAACCGAGCTATGGAACAGAGTGAACGCACTCAGAGGAAAACGTAGGAACACGGAACTAGCAAAATGCAACTCTTGTGGGGTCACTAGGGACTCCATCGAGGTTGCCAATAAGCTGGGCTCAAACTTTTCTGAGCTTAGATCTCTTGATAGCTATGGTGACCAACTGTCCAAGCATAACAACATCTCGATAAACTCCGTACGCAATATAATTCTTCCTGATCTAAATTTCATTAACATACCATTCTCCATGACTAAAATGTGTTTCGCGTTAGCAACCGTTAATGGCAAATCGCCCGGTCCCGATGATGTTGGTTATCCTTAAAACAAAAAAAAACACATTCCGTCGAGCGGGAAGCGAGCACTACTAAACAGTTTCAACGAGATTTGGAGGAAGAAAACTTTTCCTGAACAGTGGAGGCACAGCTTGGTGGTGCCCATTCAAAAAAAAAAAGAACGCTACCCGTACCATCCTAAAAGGATACCGTCCAATCTCCCTTACAAACTGTACATGCAAGGTGATGCAGAGAATGATAAATCACCGGTTTACCGATTACCTGGACATCCGTCAGCACGCCTTTCATCAAGGTTTTGGCACAAGTATTAATTGTGCCACCATCGGTCAGGTAACTGACAACACTTTGAGCGAATATCTACACGTGGATTTGGCTACGTTGGACCACTCCTAGGCTTACAACAGGACCTGGAATCCAAAAATCCTCGATCAATTAATCAAGTGGAAAGTTACCGGAAATATCCTTTCTTTCATCCGAAATTTCCTGCAGAGCAGAACTTTTCAGGTCTATGTGGGAAATGGAAAATCGGACACATTTGCTGAAGAAACCGGAGTTCCGCAGGATTCCGTTCCGGCTGTGACACTCTTTCTAATATGGTCTCCGGGCACTTAATCAAAGACATCTACAGCTTTGTTTTTGCGGACGACATTGTGCTGCCCGTGATAGGTAAATCATCGGGTTGGGTCCGACGGAGGTTGCAAAGTGGTCAAAATTGGCAGGCTTTCAGCTGACACCTAGCAAGAGCCAATTCTCGCACATTTGCAATGGAGGGCACCGTGCCGGGAAGAAACCTGCTTAAATCAATGGGTTCGCAAATCCATTTCACAGTGTCATCTGCATACTTAGAGTTTATCTGGATCGTCATCTAAGTTTCACAAAACACTGTGACATCATCATCAATTATGACATCAAGAAGGTATGCGAGACGAGACTGGCGCTGCTGCGGTACATTTCCGGAAATACTCGCTCTCAGTGTGGCCAAAACGATCGTTAATAGCAAGTATGGAGCGGAATGTACTTGCCGTGCAG